AAGTCGGCGGAGCCCTATAGTATTCACTCTGTCTGTGTATCTGCCCGTCAATAGATATAAGAAGATGTGGTATGAGTGCCAATGAGATAATTCTCCATCCAAGTCACAATTTGTAAAAGTAAACCAATGTAGGTGAAAGTACGGCCTTCAACACGGAGCCTTGTTTCATACAGAACAGCAAGCTATAAAGGGTCCCGAAATGACTAGTGTAAAACCATTCAAACAGGAAAACCAACGGTCTAATCTATATAAAAAACGAGAAACGTGTGCTAAAATTTCAACCACACAAAAATGACATATAGGTATAATATGCTATTCAAAATTGTTTGCTGTTGTCAACAATTCATATTTCTTGAAAATAGAGGAAAATATCGATAATAAAACATTGTAAAACTGTTTATTTTAAGTATTTAAGCTAAAATTAGCAATTATAGGTATAATCTGCTTTTGCAAATCCAATTTCCCATGTTTAATTTGTAGCAAACAAAATTTGCGGAAGATGGGGAGTGGGTTAATTCGTTAAAAAGTCAAACAATTTATGAGAAATGTCTTTTTGTGCTAGAATTTGATTTAAAAAAAATATATCTAGGAATTAGAAACTATTCCATGTTGATTGAAGGTGTAAGAAATAAAAAAAATTAAAAAAAATTGGTATCATCTAATTTTTGAGATTTTTTTTAAAAATCTTTTAATGGAAGGATTTCAACAAAAAATTTAAATATCGGTACAATATGTAATTTATTATTGATTTTCGGTTACGGGTATGGGTAAAAAGCTTAATTTTTGTCAAAAAAAATCACAAAATTTGAAAAATCCATCACCAAAATTCAATACAAGTGTATGATATGTTTTCCGGAATGATTCCCCACATCAGAATTTTAAGAACATAGTGCGGGTTAATAAAATTAATGAAATGGCTGACAAAATATTTACGGCTATATAAATTTTTAAAAAAGGTACAAATATCGTCAGTTTTTGGTTGATGCGATCAAATAATTTTGTTTTACGAGCCAGCTTGAGATATTTAAACTACAGATTTTTTTTTTTATGAGTCAATATTTGGAATAAAAAGAGGACATGCTAGCATTCTAAATTGATGCGGACAAATTTGTGTAGTCATTGTGTTCCAATATTGCTGTCATTTCTATTTTACAATCCATCCTGACATCAAAACATTTACTGATTTATTATGCCGCTATATAAATTTACATAATAAAGTGCTAATATGGTCAGTTTTGGTTGATGCGGTCAAATATTTTTGTTTTACGAGCCAGTATGAGATATCAAAACTGCTGGGTTTTTTTTTTTTTTTTTTTGTTTTTTGCCGGTACTCTAAATTGATACGGACAAAATTATATAGTCATTGTGATCTAATATTGCTTTCATTTGTACTATACAATCCGTCCTGAGTTAAAACAAAATTACTGATTTATTCTGCGGCCATATAAACTTTCATAATAAAGTGCAAATATGGTCAGTTTTGGTTGATGAGGTTAAATATTTTTGTTATACGAGCCAGGCTGGATATAAAAACTACTGATTTTTGGTGACCATTCAATATTTTGAATAAAAAGAGGACATGCTGGCACTCTAAATTGATTCAGAAAAAGAAACAGCTGTAATGTGGGCACTCCGAATTAAAGCTGACCATGAATATTAGTAACTGTACACCAATATTTCTTTCATTTATCATGATTATTTTATACAATCTAGGTACTATGCGTTATTGCCATTGTTAATCGATTCTATTTGATAACCAAGTTTTTAAGATAAATGCTACATTTTGAAACAGATCAAAACTTAAACATTTTATATAAATATAAACGACTTGAAGAATTTGATATTTATTGAAAAAACATTCAACGCATGTTAGCTGTGTAACCAATATCGTTTTCGATTTATAAAAATGCAGATCATGGAGAAATGTGTATAACAAGCAGTTTTGTGCGTACTTTATTTACAAATGTATTTGATCTGTATTGTTTATATCAAGAAACACAGATATTTAGAAATATTTTATAAATCGATATAGAGCGGTCCTGGTAACAAGTTAACTTAGTGTTGAGCAGGCATGCCAAAGGTTACTTGAGATCAGGTCTGGTTGAAGCGGTGTTGTCAAAATCGAAGTTGACTTATTGCAGGACTGGTTTCGAATAGTAGCGGACCTGTCTAAATTAAACTTTTTCAACAGCCATTAAAACAGTCTAAGGATCAAGTCCGCTTTTCAAAATAACTTGATTGTCGTCCTAGGACTGGTCAGAGCAGTCCTAAATCCTGTCGCAGGTTAACTTTTATCTGTCATAATGACTGGTTAACAAGTTAACTTGCTTTAAAGGTTAGGACTTCACTCATCTGTAAGCAACATTCCTTTCTGGCTCAATCCACTAAAACTTGAATTTAGGAGACAAGAAATTAGATATATGATTGACAATGATATCATTGAGCCGAGTAACAGTGAATAGAGCTCTCTTTGTCTCCCTGAGCCCAAACCAGATAAAACATTTCGTTTCGTAAATGATTTCAGAAAAGTTAATTCAGTTTCAAAATCTGATTTCTATCCATTTCCAAGGATAGCCGACTGCATTGATAACATTGGGCAAGCAAATTTTTTGAGCATATTTGATTTACTGAAAGGTTACTGGCAGGTGCCCTTGATACCGAGAGCCGGTGAAATATCAGTTTTTGTCAGACCAGACAGCTTATTTCGGTATACTGCCATTCCGTTTCGTATGGAAAGTGCCTCAGCTACATTTCAAAGAATGATCAATAATGTTATAGAAGATTCAAACTGTTTTTATGCTTATATTGATGATCTTATTGTATGTAGTGATAGCTAGGAAAAGTATTTGACACATTTATATGATTCTTTTGGTAGACTGTCACAATGAAATTTGATTGTTATTCTTGGTAAACGTTCATTCTGTCAGGCCAATTTTGATCGATCATTTAGGGCATACAGTTTGCCAAGGTGAAGCGAAACCCATTATGGCTTAACTGTATGCAATCACAGTTTCCTCTTCCTACAAATGAAAATCAACTTGTGAGATATTAAGACATGATGGGATTTTACAGGAAATTCTATTCAAATTTTCATAATGTTGTTCAACCATTAACTGATCTTTTACGGAAAGATTATAAATTCATCTTGCGTGATAATCGTCAAAACGCTTTTGAAAATAGAAAATCACACTTTTAATTAACATTCCGGTTCTGATCACTCCAAAACAATTCAAATTTACCGTTGACGCACGTGATGTAGGAGTTGAAGCCGTTTTATATCAAGAAACAGATGCTAATGTTGAGAAACCTATTTCATATTTTTCTAAGAATTAGATAAATCAGAAAAATTACTCAACTATTGAAAAAGATTGATGTATTTTTAAATCCCACTATGCATCCTATTCTTGTTTATACTGATCATATTCGTCTCACCTCCATGCAAAAAAAGAGAAACAAGAACCCGAGTTTGACTAGGTGGAGTTTATTGTTACAGGAATATGATGCTATTATAAAACATATTACAGATAAAGATAATTTGATAGCAGATGCTTTATCTAGATCTTATTAATAACATTGTAAATACCATATTTTTGTATATATTGTTAATGGAAAGTTCGCGCCACACTGAAACTTTTTTAAGGGGGAGGTGTTATGAGATTGATATTATCATGATTATTTATCTTGACCTAAATTATTTTGTGTTGTCTTATAAGATGTTTACATAATTGGGTTGTGACCTATTAATAGTTTACACAATAATGTTACTGTGCACTTAAGAAATCACTGGAAAAATCATACTTACTGGTGAAATGATTAGAACCTTCTATTTGACTTCCATAATAATTCCAGAATGATCATAAAAGAGAGGCAAAAGATACCAGAGGGACATTAAAACTCACACGTCGAAAACAAACTGACAACGCCATGGCTAAAAAAAGAAAAGAAAAAGACCAACAGACAAACAATATTACACAAAACAATATAAAGACTAAGGACTGAGCAACACGAACCCCACCGAAACTGGGGTTATCTCAGATGCTCCGGAAGGGTAGGCAGATCCTGCTCCACATGTGGCACCCGTCGTGTTGCTCATGTTAGTCCAAACCCGGTAATAAGTCTAATTCGGTAGGTTACATTCGGGAAAAGGGGACGGGATTGTAGTTACGACATTAGGAACATATCCGCTATCATCTGTGAAACGGATATTCCATAACGGTCAACCAACTCATGATGGCTTCCGTAAAACTTACGAAGGGATGAATCAACTTCACCACTTGGATCTCTTGGTTTAATAGTTTCTTTGTGAGCAGCAATCCTCTTTCATGGAAATCATGATAGGAAATACAACATGTACAAGACCTGGAATATTGTATCAACTGGGAGATATATACTCTGTATGCAGGCGCTGCTGGAATGTTGCTACATAGAAATGGAAAGTTCACAATTTGAAGCATAATCTACGATGCGTAATTTTAACTCCTCTAGTATTCTGAAAGTTTCCCTTCTACAGTGTTCGAGAAGTTTCCGTGGTAATCATAAATACCGACACTGAATTGAACTAAGAACAGAACTATAGAAACATTTTCAGAAGATCTCTGCAGTTGTTGGATTGACACTTTAAATTACGTTAACAACATCATATTTTTTCGTGAACTTACTGGACATATAAACATTTCGTTGGATTTCGAAAGAGTTTGGAGAAGAATTCCGGATAAAGAAAAGACATTCAGATATTTTAACAGTTAAGTTGACATTTCTATTTGCATAATATTTCTTGTAAAATTGCATAATAAATCTTGTTTAATTTATTATTGATTTTTGTCTTTTGCTGGCTACAATTTAAAGGTGATTCCTGGTTGTAACAATAATTAGCAAGCAAGGACAATATAAACATTTCAAGAATCTGTAGATTTTTACCTAAACACAACATTACAACACAGAAGGGACTTCAAAAAAACTCACAACTACAGAACACTCGCAAAAGAACACGAAACACTAAGTGAGTTTTTATTTTTTTATGTAATAAGTAGGGCGAAACTTCCACGCCAGGACAGCCGCCTCAGAAAAAACCAAAACACACACACAAACGTCAAAATATTTCGACTATAACAAAATTCTCAATCAACACCAATGTAAAAACATCTATCACTCAAGTGCTAGCATTCAATTGTCACATTTAAGATACATATTTTATATCATGTTTGCTTACAAATCTGTCACATTTAAGATACAAATTTTAAATCATGTTTGCGTACAAATCAGACTCGAACAAAATACACTTCATAACATGAGGTATGCTGGACAAATGTGCCTTGTACTAAGTTGTTTTTTGATGGATTTCTATGGTACCAAAAGATTCTAAATCCTTCGTTGTATATTGCTCTAAGTGTTCTTAATTGTTGAAATGATGTTGCTCTTCCATGGAATTCTACTAACAATTGCCAGGTATTTCTTAGAGCACCAGTTTGTATCATATTAGGAAAGGATTCCCATTCCATCTTCTCTACATCAATTTTCAGAATATCGACTCTCCGCTGAAAATGAAAATTAATGCATATACAAAGTTGAATTTGCTACATTGAAATTAAGTCACGATAAAAAAAAAATGAGAAATTCAATTATCAACCTCTCATTCAGGAGTTTTTAGCTCAAAAGTGCGGTAGCAGCATTCAAAATGGTAATAATTCTTTAGATGGGCACAAAATATATGTTCAGCACAAATAGGACAATTTTATGTAAATATTTCACAATCACTTGGAAGATTTTACAAAGAATGTAAACGCTAGACAAATTTACAACTTCTAAAAGACAAATGTTTTAAACTAAGACGGGATACATACAACATGAACGAACTGGCAGCAACAATTATAGTATACTCACCATTCTGGTCATTGAAAGCTTTAAAAGGAAACTGTTTTGTTTTGGTTTTTTTTGGTTTTTTTATTTTTAGCTTTCCTCAAACTGCATTTCGGTTTTCACATAGAGCAAAAAAATCAGACTATGGATTCATCGACTTAAATATGCATGATGTTTCCCACTGGAGGTAAAAGTCATTTGATCCTTCGAATTTAACAAACAAGATTTTTCTGGAAAAACGTTAGAAACTCAAGCTCTTAGTAGTTATACCTTTTGCGGTCGAGTTAAATTTAGTCTTTGCTACATATTTACATCATTAAAGACCTTGTTATGATGTTTATTATTGATATTTACAGTTTTTCTGTAATAAATGGATATTTAATGAAAATTAATTCAGTAATATTTCAGAAAAGAAAAGAGATAAATAATTCAACGAGCCAAAGTTGTAGGCAAAAGTTTACAAATATCTGTGACATAGCCCATTTACTAAACGTCGACCTAAAGAACAATAACTTATGAAAGCAGACATCTGAAAATTTCGGCCATTTTGACCATGTGGATCTTGATTTACTTATCATAATTGCTAGTCACATTTTTTCTCTATGTAAAACAGTATTGAATAAATTGATCAAGGACAATAACTCTTATAAGGAGTCAACTAACAATATTCGTTATTACACTTTTTTGTTGATCTTGTTTGCTTGTTCATTTTTTTTAAGACTTTCCCCCTAAATGTAATCACTTTCAAGCTGTGGCAAAATCAAAAGCTCAAACACATCAAACGAACGGATAACAACTGTCATATTCCTGACTTGGTACATGCATTTTCTGATGTAGAAAATGGTGGATTGAACCTAGTTTTATAGCTAGCTAAACCTCTCACTTGTATGACAGTCGCATCAAATTCCATTATATTGACAACGATTCGTGAACAAAACAAACAGACACAATAGGTAAAAATGTCAAAAATAGGAGTACAGCAGTCAACATTGTGTTATCATCGTAATCACTATAAAAACAAACAAATGTAACAAAGAAGCACAAAAAGGCATACATCAAATTTAACATCCTCATTATGCTTTTTATTATACGATTTTATTTATCTATGTAAAATCCACCCATAAGGATGGAAGGTTTTAAGTACTGGCGTAGAATGGTGCGTTTGACGTCACACCAGTAGATATAAAATAATGTTGTCGTTCAAAGTATGACGGGATACATAAGTACAGTCACGACAAATGGATTTCACAAAAAATAGACTTAACAGTAAAAGTAATATTAATAAAATAAAATAATTTTGTCGTTCAAAGTATGACGGGATACATAAGTACAGAGTCACGTCAAATGGATATCACAAAAAAAACAGACTAACAGTAAAAGTAATATTAATAAATACAAATAAAAGAATACTATAACACGTTATTAAGATGATAAACAACGTCAGTACGCAGAATCTATACTTCAAGACCATCGTATATTATTTGTGAAGTTGATGCGGAATATTTATCAACAAGGTCTTGGTACCTTCCGATGAACATCTAGGTAAATGCTTTTAAAAATAGACTTGTTAAGGAGGCTATATTAAAAAATAAAGAGGTCTGTTTTAATGATTATAGAACTGCATTTTTTGTAAGTTTGGAGACTTTATTATTATTGTTTTGTTTTTTTTGCAATTTAGAATTAGCTTCGCGATAGAGTCCCCAGACCCCCTTAGGTCTGAGTAAAAGATGAAAGTGTTTTATATACTTGAAGAATAAGTTTTACTATAAAACACGTGTACAAAGACTTTCAAAATCTTCAGAAATGGTAGTACTTTTGAATTATTGTCTTCCCGTAAACTAATTCGGCGACAGCTTTTCCGTAGATCTTGAAGATGACACCTTTTGATTGTGAAATAAATCTTTAAATTACACCAAGCTATTTAATAACTGTTGTGACAATGTTAAATTCACAAATGGATACTCAAGAAAAATTCTTTTTTTTTAAAAGAAACTAAACATCGCTCTATCATTTTAATTATTTTGCAAGTGCCCCGTTCTTTTTTGCTGATTTTTTATCAAGGTCACATTTCGGTAATCTTTGGCAACATAATCCAAAAGTTAATTAGCAGCCACAGTTTTTGCTCAAATATCACCGAATGAAATTTTGTTTTGTCGATTATATATTTAGTAAAGAATATATGCATGCATTATTTCAATAATTTCATTTACAATATAATAAAAGGAAACTTTACTTATTTCAAATGACTTTAAGCAACAATTACCAATCATTTATATTATATCAAAATTAGTGAAAAATATATAATTTAATTGGAACAAAGGTTTCTTAACAAATATATGAATCATTCGTTTATTAACATAAATAACACACGGAGACCATACATACATCTAAATACAAAATCATCTTTATAAACATCTATTTATCTTAATTCATTAATTCAAGTTTGAATATCAAGATTATATGCATGTAATGAATAACAGATTATTCATTGAACTATAATGTATGCCTTAGCTGGGTAATGATGTGTTAAAATCTGAAAAAAACTAACTAGTTCAAAAAAGTTTCAAATAGATTTGAAAGCATAAACACAAGAAACCCAAGTAGAGTCCAGAAAACCGTATAAAAATCATTAGCATCCCAAAGATGTTCTGATAGATTTCAATTATCCTATGATCTATTACTTTTAGTAGTCATCTTTTAAATCATACATTGTTGCATTAGTATAACTTATTTGACAATAATTAGACAAACTGATACGAATGTATTTACGCATATGGTATATGTAAGGCTTTCTCTTTTTTGATATGTTTATCATAGGGAAACAGCTACGTGATTTCACATATAAAGTCTTACATAACAACCAAAGGAGTAAATATTCAACTGTTTTATATCTTTTATCATCAGAATTTAACAACGAATTGTGCATACCTGATGTTCTTACCTTTATTTGATATAATCACTAGAAGATATCTACTTACAGAAGTATGGTTCAAATGTTTTGATATATCTTTTAAGGAAGAAACATTCCATTTTCCTTTTCTCGAGGTTGTATTGCTTATGCCAAGGTTATGAAACCATATATGGTTTCCACGTCTAAAATCTGCCTGGTTCATACTAAAAAACATTTGAGCATTATTTTTACTTGAAAACAAAAAACAAACATCTGTTTAAACACTTTCATTTACGCACAAAATATACATGATACATTAACATAACAGTAAGCTATGACAAATAAAAAAACTAAAAAAAGTATATCGAATCTATAATTTGAAGGATTTCAATAGAAACATAGATCCGACTACATCGTACAATTACAAAATTTTCTTCAAGTATAATTGTAACGTGTAATAACTTTAATTGATCGTGGCTCCTTTCCACCGACTGCCGTTATGTAAAAAAAATAACAGTACAAGTTTGCCTTCGCCATACCTGTAATTTAGTATACAATTACATATGGTTTGTGTCACGTGTGTTCCCACCTTATTTTTTTTTCTGATACGTAGGACGAATACATAACTGTCAAATGATGACGACAAATATGACGTCCGCTGAAAAGAGGTTGATGATACCAAAGGTATACTCGAAGTCATAAGTCGAAGATTAACTGACAATCATGTTGATTTTTAAATAGTTAGGATTGTTTTCTTGAATTAAAGAACCAAATTTGTTTTAGCAACAGCCAGATCTCTTTTTAGCTATAAATTCATCTGAAACTGATCAAAATTAAGACATATTTTTTCAACTCTATGGCTGATAAAAAATGGAATATATAATTATAAGACAAGTGAAGTAATAGGGAAATTTGGTGACCAATTATTTATTAAGATTGAATTCGTCAAAGTTTCGCTAGAGAATTTCTTTCTATCTGTCATATGGATGGATGGATGGTTAACTTCCAGTGGCAAACTAAATGCATATTCTGAACAAAAAATTTGATAATGTAATATGAGTATTAACCCTGCTTTGTACTAAACCATTACGCTTAGCCGGATTTTTAACATACTAGTTCACAAGCTAACAATCTGCCGGAAGACATGTCAAAGTACCCGGACCATTATTCTCCAAGGCGACCAGTCTTTGCTCATCTTATTAGTTCCTGCTTAGCGGAGAAGCAGCAAATATCTATTTTCAAGTCTTTAATTGATCCTAACGGGTTCGAACCCACGACCTCTCGTATCGACGCGAACACGCTACTATAAGACCGCCGAGACGCTAACTGTTAAATGGTTTTTGTGTTTATCATAACATCATAAACGAAAATGTCAAATATTTCATTTCATTATTTCAATCTATTTTAAAGAAACGGCAGATGCATTAAAATTTGTATCTGGATCCCAGGTGTTTTTAACTAGATGGCGAGAAACCGTGCAAATGTCAACATTCAGTATTTCAAAAGCAGAACACAAGTTTCACCAAAGCTATTGTGAAAAATTTGCACGACCGTCAATAACATAAAAGAAATATTAAGATGACCGTGTCTTTTGCCCCTTTAAAACCTTTTTCTAAATCAATGTCAAATTTGAAAGTCTCTCTTTATGTGGTCTGTACTGTTTTTGAAAATGCGGAAAATTATAGATAAAAATACAGTAGTTTACCGATGATTAATTTTCATAAATCGATTATAATATACGCCTATATGAAGTGTATGCACCAATTATCTTCAAAATGTCAATTATGGCTCCCACGTCGTGGAACTGTTGGTATGGTATAAAATTGTAAAACCTCTAATTATTAATTATTTCGTATATCTTGGGTTTATTTGGGTTTTTTTTTTTTTTTTTTTTCTGTTTATTTTTTCTTCTTGTCTTTTGATGGAAAAAGAAATGTCTGTGTTGTTCTTTGTAGTATTTCAATTTCAAAGGAATTATTTTTGCTATATACTTAGTCTGTTACCTGGGATCAAAAGAGTGAACGTCACATCCGTATGTTTCTACCACGGCATCATCAAAACTAAAGTCCCATTTTATTCTACAAGATGAAATGACTCTGATGTTGGATTTTCTAATTTATGTATACATTTGTAGTTCAATAGGAGATACAAATATATCATTCGTTAAGGAGGTGATTCAGCTTGGCCGACCTTCCATGTGTTCGTTCTTGAAACATCCATATGTCGAAATTTAACACTTTTCAGCTTCGATACGTAGGATACGGTGAGTATATATATTGCTTATGCTCGTCTGGCGTATCAAATTATAAGCCTGTTATCTATAATGAGTTTTATATGGTATTATGCTACCGATGTTCTGAATTACCGTGCAGCATTTGTTTCTTAAGCGGCGATGATATAGACCAAGTGGAAGTAAATACAAATAAGCCATTTCCTGAATGACAATGGTAAAACAATTCATCAAAGATACCAGGCTTGTATAAACCCAGATGTAGTAAATGCCAAATAAGAAATGCAATGGGTATGTATACAGTTGTAGCAAATAAACCTGCATCCGATGTGCAGTTCTGTACAAAGTGATTTTCAGAAAAAAAGCAGTGACTCCCTATGTGACATACTTTGAATATACTTGGAATGATAAACTCAATAAACATTAAATATTCATTTATTATCCTTTATTCTTCTGTTTACAGCCAAAGATATTTTTGAGTCGTTACTACTAAGATGTGGCTAACTGAAAATATTTAACGAAGGTAAACTTCGAGCGCACTTCATTCATGGGTTTTTAACTTTTAATGAGCATTAAATTGTTTGTAAGATATGCAGTTTTTCAAATACGCCATATTCTAATTTAATATCAGTTTGGACAAGCATGATATATACGAGAAATTTGAAAAGTATACATAATAATGCATATTTGGTTTTTTTTATAGACAATTTTCTGTAATGATTTCATAATTTCTCTGAACAAACTTTATGTGCTTTGGCGAACTATACATTGTGTGTAAAAGTTATTGCAGACCACAATATCATAACACTATCAGGAAGTATGAAATGATTACTTTTAGGGGAAACAGTACATACTATCTCTTATATACCCAAACTAGCAAAACATTCTATTTTGACGTTAACATATAGATACACTCATCATAGATACCAGGATAAAAATTGTGTACGCCAGACGCGCATCAGTGACGCTCGTATAAAAAAATTTAAAAAGGCCAAATAAAGTAAGAAGAGCATTGACGACCCAAAATTCCGAAAGGTTTTGCCAAATACAGCTTTATAAACCATTGTTTTCTTCTAAAAAGACTAAAGAAAAACACTATACCAAAGCGTGTTACCTGCAAACAATCCATGAGAAATCTTCATGTCAACATGACGTTCATTTTCACTGAACTAGTACACATTTTTGTTTAGGGGCCAGCAGAAGCCCGCCTCCGGGTGCGGGATTTTCTCGCTATGTTGAAGACCCATTGGTGGCCTTCGGCTGTTTTTTGCTCTTTGGTCGGGTTGTTGTCTCTTTGACACATTCCCCATTTCCATTCTCAATTTTATACATCAGAAGAGGACAAATGATTTATTCAATCGTAAAGGAAGGGAAACAATGCTATTTTTGTAGAATGATAGAATAGATTTGAAACTACAAAATATCAAGAGATGTTTGATCAAGTGTCATATGCTCATAGAAAGAATGTCCAAATCCGTAAGAAAGTATGTCCACCATGAAATATTTCTAAATCCAGGATACATCGTAGCAAACGTTGTGATAATTTCCAGAATAAATGTGTATGTGGACATCAACGTAGCATTGCGAGGATGTAAGATCATTTATTATGTAGTCGGTAAATACGGAAGATAATCACTAGCGCGACTTTCAAAATTTAAGATTGTTTGTGAAATTGTAAAATATCATTACTAGCCAGCTAACAATGATACAAAATGAGCATAATCAAATAACACTTTATAAATTGTATGCAGCAGAAGCGCTTTTCTGGATAACCTTGTGACAATTCTAAAATGAATCTAGTCTAAGTTGTATCCTTATCAGCCTTCCTCTGAATGTCGAATATTGATACTTTTGAGCAGTAATACTTGAAGATTTTAAAACATAACCAGGCTGTCATATTTTTCTGTCAACATGCCTCTTGATACATAACCCTTATTTTGAAACTGGGAATAGAAACTGCCAAGCTACTTTATTAGATTACATATCGGAAAATTTAAAGAAAATGATAAAAATTGTGTTACAAATTTGACAGGTCAATGCCACTTTTATTTACTGATTAATTTCTGATACCTCATTATAAAGGAAATGACGGATAAGAAGAGATGTCGTAAATACTGGTATTGAGTTGATATTAATTCCAATACCTTTCATATTCTTCTTCTTTGTATAGCCTCTCGTAAAAAAAAGTTTAAGGTCAAAGGAACATATATGGTCGATCTCTCGGATGTTTATGAAATTTTGACTTAAACTGAAGCATGAAGAAAACTACATATGAATTTTATTTTTATACTTACCCAGATTAGTCATATCATATACCCCCAAAAAAATGAAGTTATGATGAAAAGAATACACCTACATATCGAAAAAAAGTTCTGGAATTTTTACTTCAAATCATCATTTCTCAAAAACCGGTCCTACTATGTTTTCCTTTAAAATGATATGTTAATTACAATTGAATTTAAGTTTTGTTAGAAATTTAACAAATATGTAGATGGTCACTAAATTCGTTTATTTAGTATAAGAGTTGGCACTTTTTTTTCGATGTTTTTAGATTTGGTCACATACATCTTTATGATTTATACAGCAAAGACGAATGAAACGTTAATTGATTTTGGAAATAACATATACTTTTTCGGGACAACTCGAATGACAAATTTAAGCATATTGCAATATCAAAGTGTCTTTTTTCAATGACACAAACTTTCATTTGAGGATATTTAATTCGTCTTATATCTGAAAATAAACATTTTGATATGAATAGGCAGATCTGCTTACTCTAGTTTCTTGCAGAAATCCATGAAAATACGTATGAGCGCTCATTTAATGACATGTTACCATAAAGGTTGCAAACCCATTATTAATAGTTTATGCTGAAAACAAATTGTGAAGTTACTGTTACTGTGATGTGTACATGTGTTACAATATAATACAATAAATATTGTAATTACAAATCTTCACAAATGGTAATAAACTCACCCAAATGAATAAGCAAAACATGGAAAGGACGGTCTGTACGGTTTATCATGGCAAAAGTTCCATCCACCATCGGTTATATGACCTAACCTTATCACTTCTTTACAATGGATCTGTGTCGACGTCAAATATCTATAGAAATATCGAAGCATTTTAAAAGAAAAATACCACATGGTAATTGAAAAGAATATCTTATATTTATATGGAAATATTTTCCTATTGCACAAAACATACCATTCTAGTGATCAACATACGTTTTTTTTTTTAATTAGACGGATATATAGAATAACGTCAAGCACGATATTCAGAGTGTAGAAAAAGTTATTTCCTATGCTTCGTATTCTTTGCGACTTGTTCCTTTATTCATGCAAAGCAGACTGCTTAGGGGAACTCCGAAGTTAAAGAATGAACATAAATTAAAGTTATCCTATAAAGTTGACGTTCTCCTAATCAATAATTTTAAAGTTTGGTGACTACATTGAAATCATCTAACCCATTGAGCTTGAAATAAAGGATGCCACAGATACAGTTAAGTCTTCTTCAAGATTATCAAGAGCTTGAAGCTACTATGACTTTGTAGAACGTCATCGGTGTCTGATTGATGAACCAAGGTTTTGTGAAAGAGCATCTCGTCTTTTGTCAAGTTCATTGGCAAGTATTAAGACATTATAAATAAATATTCAGTGTCTACTTCACAAATAAAACAAGATGGTGTCGAGTTATAGATTCTAGGTGCTGAAGTTGTGTATCATTTTATTTATCTAACAGTTTTCTGTTTATTTGTCTTTGTGCTTTGCTGTTCCGTTTTGTTGTATTGCTCATGACGTGTCTCGGTATTTATGCATCCAGCTATCGTTTATTTATTTTTTGGGGCTTTTCGCATTCGTAGTGAAGGTAGATCCAGAGGTGCAATTCGGACACAAGAGATTTTTACAGAATGGTTTTCATTTTGATTATCATTGTCTTTATATTTTATTTAATGTGTACTTTATAGAAAAAATGAATATTATTATATTGTATGTACTATCAGCTACAAAAACTTTTTGTTGGCGTCTTTGTCAAATTTGTTATCCACTTCAAAAACGTTTTTTTGGGAAATGTATATTAAATAATGTGTTACTACATTGTATGTACTATCAACTACAAACACTTTTTGTTGACCGTCTTTGTTAGATTTATTTATAGGTTTGTATGATTTTTTTAGTCATTTGTGTTGTATGTCTGTGAGTATGTTTACACTGTTTTGGCTCCTGGATCCCGATTATTGTTACATTAACTGATTATGTCTGTTTGGGTTGCTCATCCAAATTTGTAAATATAACGGAATTATAAACAACGGTCATACAATTTGGAGTTAAGCTAGCCTTAACATCAGGTTTAACCAACCGTTGTCGTCGGAAAAAGCCTGCACCAAGTCAGGAATATGACAGTTGTTTTTATTCCTTCTATTGGTTCATGGAGTCTAACGTTTCATTTTAATAGTTTAAATTTGCCTTGGAGTTCGGTATTTTTGTCATACTTTTTTTATTCATATCTTGACTTTCATCTACACATTGACAATGACGGTCGATTGATTTCAGCTTCCCGATTGTGAACTTTTAATATGTGTAGCAACATTCCTGCAGCGCCTATGTATGGAATATATATATATATATATATCCCAGTTTAAAAAAAAAGTCAAAAGTTTGTGTTTCCTATCATGATTTCCTTGACTGAGGGTTTCTGTGTACAAAGAAGATGTTAAACCAAGTTTTCCTTCGAAAATTTGACGGAGGAGGATATCTTGAATTAGTTGGCCGTCATTGAATATCTGTGTCACATATCACTACGGGTATCTTTCAATTGTCGCTTTAATCTCGTCCTCTTTTCCTCACCATTTACGACTTTCGCTCAATATGTACTTGTCATGAGAAACAAGACGGATGCCACTTATTAACATTTATAAAATTAAAATAACACTAAAATTATTTCGTTCGTCCGAAACAACTTTCTGGATTCTCCTTAATCTAGAACCCTTAAACCCATACATTTGAAAGCCAAGGATTACTGTCACATAAGTGAAAAATGTTACAGAAATTAAAAGCTTGTGCTTTTTTTCAAAAGTGTGGTATTTTGTAACATGTACTGAAAAGGGGGAAGGTATGATAAGGCCATTTTTTTTTTGGCACCCTGAATTCGAAAACCAAATATTACTATAAATCTTTCAATTTAAATCCTTCAAGAATACTTTTTTTAGACGGCGATGTTCCTTTGGCTCCATCATACGGTGTTTATATATCCCAACTCGTTCGTTATGCCCGTGTGTGTAGTGATGTCATGGATTTTAACGAACGTAATCAATGTATCACTGGTAAATTATTACGTCAGGGATTTCGTTACCATAAATTTCTTAAAACATTTACTAAATTCTTTCATAGATACAAAGATTTGATTAGTAAATTTGACTGTACCTGTAGAAAACTTATTTAAAATGGTATTTTACATCCTAAATTTTACGGTAATATTGTACTAAAAGCGCGGAAATCACTATGTGATCCGTGTAAACTTATCGAACCTTTAAACAAACTTATTAGTAAAGGTTATCTTATTAATGTTGTAATAAGATCTTTGAATATTGTTTTCATTGGCACTAACATCGATTTTGTCATCAACAAATTAAAACATAACTAAATTTGTATTCTTTTCGAATGGTTTTTTGGGATGTATATATACACATCCATGTTTATTTTCTATTTAGAAATTGTTTTATCTATATATATATAACATCATATATATCATATATATTTATTATAAGGTTAAATCCTAACTATCCTACTGCCTGTCGTTACTTTTTTTTTTTTTTTTTTTCGGCATTGCACAAGTCTCATGGCTTCTTTGACTGTCCATGGCGTTAAAACACTAAATCCCTGTCTTAGATGTGTTTTAATTGATTTACGTCTCTGGTGCATGATTTTTTATTATTGATTGTTTTTGGCTTTTAGCTAGCTTTCAATAACTGCGAGTACTCTCAAATCGTACTTTCATGTTAATTTGACCTGTTGACACAATTTGTAATGCTTTTTTGCTATTCAATGTTAACTTCTTTTGTGGTATATCTCGTCTTACTATTTTTAATATGTACCACCTTTGATAAGTATTTAGTATTTTTAATTATTATATTTAAATTTACCTGTGTACGTTACTTTATTTAATGCCATTTTGTCCAAGTTTCATATCAATCCATGTCAAAAAAGCTTAATCCCAGACTGTCTGTTATACACTTATCCGGGAATTACATATAGCCCGATAATTTACTCTTACGAAATACTCTTAATTTGGAAATTTCATTTTTTTCAAAAACATATACTTACAAGTATTAACAAGCGGTTCTATTATTTGAGATCTTAAGTTATATTGATGAATTGTATTTTTTATGCATTTATCATTAATTTAATTACAAATTCATTTAACTAATACCGAAATAAGAATCATAGCTGCCGAGATCTAAAATGATGTCTCCCTTAGAAAATTTGAAATAGGAACCAGCTCTAGTTCGCGCTATTTCCGAAGTCTGTTATCAAGATGCAGTTTTCAACATGTTGAATGTCTGAAAGTACCTGACAGCCACGTTTGCCTATTCTCCAGGACCCAACACATCGTGTTACTGCAGTACAGAATAAAACAAACTCTACAATATTCCGTGGCTCATATGAAGGGTGGGTGCTTCATCAGGGGTCCTGACCCAATCCTTCATGTTGTACTAAGCTTTGACTACCGAGCTAGTCAGTATTTCTTTTAAGTTCCGATGTCTACTATACGCCACCATTGGTGGTTATTATTCTTTATTTCAATATTTGTGCATTATTAAAAAAATATCGAAATATCATAAACCGATAAATGCTTATTAGTTTACTGTAAATCTAATTAAAAAGAAAACTTAGCAAATGTTGCTTTGTTGACAAAATATCAGAGGATATGTTTGTTCCCTGGTTAAGGGTAATGGGATAAAGGTAAATTTCCGGGTTAAGGGTAATTCATGGATAAGTGTATGACAACTGTCCTTAAATTTTAACTGTAAAAAACTATGTCCGTTCTATCAGAAATATACTGAAAATCAAAAAGTTTGCTTCAGACATTATCTCTTAATCATAAAAAAGCTTCTGCCAAAGTTTCTTAAAATTCTATGAAGGTTTAACAAATTAATTGATGTGTAATAAACTTTAACCCAGACTGTATTGTTAGATGTTAAAAAAACTAAGTCCATTTATCAGTAAAATACGGAAAAAAGAAAATAAATATTTTCAAAATTTTGCTCTGGATGGTGTATCTTGGTCATGAACAAGCTTCTGTCCAAATTTCCTAACATTCCATTGAGGTTTGACAAAGTTATTGATGTCTAAAAAACATTAACCACAGACTGAACTTAACTGTCGACGCCGCCAATGCCACCGATGGAATTTAGGATAGCTGTGTCCTGCTTTTGGATAAATGTCGCAACCTCGACAAAAATATAAATCCTCAAAGTCAAACAGTCATTCACTAAACTTATCAATATTGCTTCAAATGTTGCTGTTTAAAGTCTCATAGTTCTGGAATAACATCCCAGTAAATTTTCAAAATCCAAAGCAAGTCTACAGTCAACAATCCTGATAGCTCTTCACAATATGTAGTAATTTGATATAAGCATACTATAGATAAAGCATAGATAAGACCTTTTATTTATCTGACAGTTAAAATCTGGAATGGCAAATTTAGATAATTTTCAAATCAAACGATGCCTTACATTGACCAGAAATGAAATTAAATAAGTTTTTATTTTATCATTCCCTAAATCTGACAATTGAAGTCCAGAAGCTCTAGCACCACACAACCAAAAGTTTAAAAAGTCAAAAGGAAGTTTTGTTCTATCAATCCTAATGTTGTGTTAAAATCTTCATGAAATAACCTAACTATTGCAAACACAAAAAATTGCTCCACTTAAACCTCATTGTTATTTTGTTGATTCCTGTTTTTTTTGGGGGGAGGAAGTCATCTTTCATATCAAATGACCCTCACCAATATTAAAGGCTCTGACTATCGAGACTCCTTTGTCTCTAAAGAAAAGGTCGATAATCCTATAACTACTTTACATTTTATGGGCAGTAATATTTTCGCAAATAGTATCTTTATTTAAGTCAAAATATGACACACTACAATTCAAACATATAAAAATACAATTCAAACAAATATAGAAAAAGAAAATAGAATATGTGTTTGCAAAGAGCTTAAGGTGGCTGGGGTGTCAGTATTAGTTAGATATAAGGCCCTTGTATTTAACAGTTTTACCGCTCTGGTCAATACCCCTAAAGGGATCTATACTAGTTGACGGAACATTTTTGTGTGGTTTTTAGTTACTATTAATTCTATTGAATAAAACAATGATCATCAAAGGGAAATCATTTAGTTTTTTTTTCCTATATCATGAATCAAACTAAATAACAGAACAGAGTTCCATTGTTCCTCGCGTTGCACATATTTTATATAACCAGTTGCAATAAAAAAAACACCTTTTTTTGCTGTTCTTTAAAACAATTTATAAATAAAAAGCGTGCGCGGGGGACAAAAATTTTTTTTTATTAAATAGTCTAAACATACCTTCAAGGGCATTACTTATAATATACTATTATTAAAAAAAAATGTACCCGTGAGAGCGCTAAGAAGGCCATTTTCCATAAATTTAATATTTCCAAGGGTCATAACTCTTAAAAAAAGTCGATCGTCCACCATTATAGAACTTGTCCGAGATATAGCTGATAATAACATATAGTATAAGTTTTATGAAAATCTGGCAAGAATTGTACCTGTGAGAGCGCAAACGAAGCCATTTTCCATAAATTTAATATTTCCAAGGGTCATAACTCTGTTGATAAATGATATTTGCATGTTATATCAACTATTCTAAAATGAAATGCTTCTTTTCTTGTGATAAAATTCTCGATATGTATATACTAAGCGCAGAGTCAGATTATGTACACATATTGGCGGTTACTATGTACCTCCCATGTAAATCGACATATGCAAACACTTATTTGTCACTATGTCGATTTCGCTGTGATTGAATTAAATTGAAATTTAAGAAGAAACTACAATACCTTTATTTCTGTTCTAATATATAACAAATCGAACTAATGCAAAAGAGCTTGAAAAATTGTGTAAATAAAATAGTTGATAAAATTTCGCGAAATTCCATGAATGATCTTTGCACATGGTGGTCCTAAGGTTTTGAGCATTATAATTTTGCAATAGTACATATTAGTAAGGACCAGCAAATTTTCTTCAAGGACCACAGGGAAAAATATTTTGAGAACTCTGCGATATCTCTGCCTTATACAAAATAATTCAGTTTGGTTATTTAGAAAAAAATTGGTAGACAAGATGTCCTTTTTAATCATATACCAGACAAACATTGACAAATCTTGTACAGTTTAAGATTATTCCTGAAAATCAAATGGTCGTAGCTTTAAGTCGTATTTGTTTAGAAAAATTAAGTTATGAAAGCATAAAGAAAAAATGTCACGAACACAGCGATTTCTTCCAACCAATTTTCTTTGTATTTACACTTATTGTATAATTACATCATTGCCAAAACAGAGCACACTATTACAGTCGTGTCTGTCGAATCGGAACTAACGTACCTTATTTTCTGTAACAAATCATCGTAAATTTCATTTGTCATCCAAATTTGTTTTTTTAATCTGCTATAGTCGACAGCAAATTGAATTTTTGTTTTCTTGCTTCTTCTATAGAATTACTCCAGACGAGGTCCACATTCATTTTTTTACTCTTCAACAAAAGACATTCCAGAGATGTACAGAGGATACCAATAAAACAATAGTGACTGCTTGATAAAATTACAATCACAATACTCAATTATTATGAGTCATGGATAATTTTATTTGGTATCAACGTCTACATTTCCGTCAGGTAAGGTTCATCTGACCTCGACCTCATTCCGTGGATCAATGATCAAGGTTAAAGTTACGTGGCCAAGTCTGTATCTCAGATACTATAAGAAATAGGTCAATAATATTTGGTGTATGGAATGTCAGACTGGCAGGTTTCATCTGACTTTGACCTCAATTTCATTGTTCATGAACAATATTTTTTTCTGGTTTGGTCTATTTCTCAGATACTATAAGCAATAGGGTCATTACATTTTGTGTATGGAGAATTGAAAGTTGTACATGTCTTTCTGGTAAGTTTCATCTGACCTTGATCTTACTTTTATGGTTCATGGTTCATTGGCCAATGATCAGTTTTCGTAATTGTGTCAGTTTGTCGATACTATAAGCGATAGGTCTACTAAATTTGTTCTATGGCATGATTGCAAGGTGTTCATGTCTGTCTGGAATGGTTCATCTGACCGTGACCTCATAACATTGATAATTTTAAGATAATATGATACTTGTATTAAAATCTTTATTTTTTTTTTTTCATATTTCTAAGAAATTGTATACCTAAGATTAGTTTAAACATATTTATTTATAGTGGATTAGGAAACAAGTTATTACAACTTATATTAATTCCTTTCCACTTTGCTGGTGCGAATGCTGCCTTTTAGCGGCATTAGCCTGCTCTTTTTCGAAATTTACAACGGTGTCTTTTACGTGCAAGAGATATTGATCTCTCTTAATACGGGTCAGCTATTTATCGTCCCCTTCCGACGGACTATCATCGTTTCTCAAGACCATACTCGCAAATGGTGTCAAGGGAGAGCCCAAAATTCAGTCCCTGAAATTTTCTCCCCGAAACGAGGATCGAACCAGGAACCTTTGTGTTTGTAGTCCGATGCGCTAACCACTATAACCCGGCTCTCTATAAGATTAAGGGGAGGGGGTACATTTACTGCCCTCAACCATATAAGCAATGTTATGCTCAAATGTTCACAAGAAAGCACAATTAAATACCACATATATTTTTTTCAACAAATTTTATAATTTTGAAAAAAATGATTTTTTTCAAAACAAGGGGGGTGCACCATACCCATTTTGTACAAATATATCTTCATTAATCATATATTCTCGTTTGAAATTAACAAAATTTGTGTCAGAATTGCACATATAAATGGAATATTTTGGCTTTTTAAGTTCAAGATGTTTGATTGTTCATCTGTATGACAATCTGGATTTTTGTGAAAAATGGACAATTTTTAAAGAAAAATATTTTTTTAAAGAAAAAAAAACACACGACTTTCTTTTTATTTCATGCATATAAAATATGTTGTCTATAAAAATTAGTCAGTGACATGGTATGGTATTGTTGATCTTGGGAGATAAACAGGAATACAATTTAGCGATTTTTTATTTTATTTTTATTTTCGAATTTTGACATATTTTTAAATGATTGCTTTGGTAACAAAATATTAAGTAAATGCAAAATTTTAACATTTTTGAATAGTTTGGGGTTTTGTTTGTCAACAATGTAAAAATGCTTATTGTTTGTATTGATTAACTTTATTTTCAACTTTATTACTTTAAAATCCCTTATTTTTCAATTTCAAAGGCTACTTTTGCACGTATTTAGGCAAAATGTTGTTAGGATGGTTTCCATGGCAACAAACGTTCAAAAGAAAAAAAATAAATATATGAAACTTATTTTCATACCATACCTTCTTCACAAACAAAATATAAAGATATTTGAAGAGGGGTCATGAATCGTCTATCAACAGGAACCTGCATGATTCTTACAAAGACAGGTACTTAAAACGTTTAAACCCGCTGCATTTTTATGCACCTGTCCTAAGTCAGGAGACTGTTGTTGAGTGGTTGTCGTTTGTTGGTGTTGTCCATAAGTGTTTCTCGTTTCTCGTTTTTTTAAATAGATTAGACCGTTGGTTTTCCTGATTGAATTGTTTTACACTAGTCTTTTTGGGGCACTTTATAGCTTGCTGTTCGGTGTGAGCCAAGGCTCCGTGTTGAAGGCCGTACTTTGACCTATAATTGTTTACTCTTTATACATTGTGACTTGGATGGATAATTGTCTCATTGGCACTCATACCATATCTTCTTATTTATATATATGACATCAGTTCGTCAGATATCCGTATCCAATTTTTTTTATTTTGTCCAAGATATAGGCATAAGGGCTGCTAACTTCTTGTAGCTCGTGCAAAACGACAAAAAAAGCTTCATTTGGAGATTTTGTTATTAATATTTAGATTTAAGCAATGCTCAACCAAAACATGTATTTGCTACAAGATGGATTTTACAAAAATGTCCATAATCAATGCGTGACATGGCCATTTCAGGTCATTTACGTCAATATCGACATGTGGATTATGTCATAGTAACCTAATAAGTGATCGTTCTGCTTTAAAGTGCCCAGATTTATTCACTGGTTCATTCATCTATGACACTATATAATGGTTAAAGGTTTGAAAACAAAATACTATTTCTGCAAATAATTGCTCTTATACTACTTCCTCCTTTCTTTTAATATGAATTTTTGTGTTTTCTGATTCCAAAAACCATTCATAAATATACCTTATACAATCAATATGCCTCTACGATGAAAACACTAACTTACACAATAATAATATTTTCCCATATTTTAATTTACCTTAAATATAGCGCATACCGCTCTTTTGCGTTTAATTTCGAAAGCTCCTTGTCCTCTGGGATTCGTAAGTGTCCTACATCTGCCTAATAATGTGAAAATATATGAAAAGATGCAAGTGAAAGTTTGGATTAAAGTAATATAAAACATCAGTAAAAATATAAATAGACAGAAAAAAAACAGTAGGAATCGTATGAACTCGAAATAGTGCGAATTCATATTTCATATTGCAAAGTCACGGACATGCCCAGCATGGCAACAATTACAGATGTGGAGTCTATGATGAAGTTATAATTTCGCCATTAATTGTCTTTACTGTTTTACATTAATTACAGCCGTATGATAACAATGTCATATAATGAGGAAAGGAACACGACCAAAAAGGCAACAATATAAGATGGATAAAATTGGACATGTAGAGTTTATGATAATGTTCTGGTTTTTTTCGGCTTATTGGATATCTGTATTAGCAAAATACCATAAGAAGAGGATGATCTTAAACATCGGGTCAGTTTTGTAATAGATCTAAATTTTTGCTGAACCAAAGAGATCAAGGTTTTTAAAATGAAATAAAAGAGCGAACAATATTGTCATTGTATTTTTAGTTTTAAGTTCACTTGACAATATGTGACCCAAGGACTCACTAGAAAAAGATGAGTGAGTAAACAGACATCATCATTCTTGCATAGTATGTGACTATACAAACAAGGTTGCAATCCGATTTGAATACTTGCCTCAACATCCAGACACTATTTTCTTGTAGCAACTTTTGTCGATTTTCAGTTTTTTTACCTTGACTTAGACAAAGACGCCTATAAATCAAAAGGGTTCTTCCCTCATTATATGTGATAATATACACAAGATAATTGCAATTGTATATGAAAATTGAATCAAGCAACCAAAACCACTTTCTTGTACAAATGTTGCTGTTTCTAAATACCTTTTACCTTGACCTTGGACGAAGGTACATTTCATCAGTTAATAAATGTTTTAATGTAATACGGTTTTATACTTAAAATAAGTCAGCGTACATGATGCATGTTTGCAACTTTCTATGATATCGTCTAGTGTTACAAATTATTTACCTGCACACGTATCTTTGGCAAGTTTTCCTTCGGAGCTCTTTAACTTCGTATTTGAAATTTCATTTCTTTTCATTAGAGCGCAACTGGTGAGTATTATGTAGACTAAACCCGCATCTGGCGTACCAAATAATAAGCATGGTATCTTTGATGAGTTTTAAACCTTATCATAGCATTTTGTACTTACCGAATTTTGTTTTATACTGTACTCCTTTATAGGACCAGTTGACTCTAGCAAACCTCTACATACATTGTAAACCTTAGAAATTAATGGATTTTCTTTCATTTAATGATCAATTAAATAAGATTCTATAATTCTAAAACAGGAATGAATAAGTGCCTCATTGGCAATTCATTATATTACATCTCTTTTTTTTAAATTAAGGTTAACGTTATCTAGTTTTGTGTAAATAAATTTCTGTCATTTAGAATAAATTCCCTTGATTTTTTTCTATAATTTATAGCCATCCAAGTGCCTCTGTTTGTGAGAATGGGAACCACATTTTAAAGTATTCTACATGCGTAAATGATTTTTCTATAAGCAACATATCAAATAATGTAAAGAATAAAAGATATATAATAATAAACTAAGCCAGAGGAGGGACGAATTTAGCATCACTTCATCAATTTTAAATATGAAAGCGATCGATTTGTTGATGTTTTTTTACCAAATGGACTCATTTGCATGCATGGAAATTATGGCTTTTCACATATGAATATATATATATCGACGATCAATAATCACTTTCACATGACATGTACTTTATAAAAGAAGCTGTCGCGTAATGGCTGGAATTTTTATTCGATCTTTTTTATTTAAAATACAAGGCACACATTTTGTATAAATAATAAAAATACGTCAGTGACAAACGTTGAAATTTATATCAGTGAAAGAACATACATTCTAAGATTCGAAAGTTCATTAAGTCTACACTCATTGTGGCATAATTGGTCGCTGAAAACGAACAGTTTTCTTCTTCCGGTAAGGAGTTTCCGATAAAATGCCATATAAAACTGGTCAAATTCGGGAATAGATACGTTTATCTTAGGAACATAAACCCTTTTTTTTTGTATAAAAAGTAAAATGACAAAAAAATTAACTCCAAGGGAAATTCAAAACGGAAAATCCTTTATAAAATTGCAAAAACAAAAGCTCAAACACATCAAACGAATTGAAAACAACTGTCATATTCCTGATTATTTATATGTCAGTTATCTTGGTTATATTTAAGATAAAATGAAAATTATACAATCTGAAAAACCACGTAGAATAGTTTTTAATTTTGTATTGTACCGATTATTTGTGTATTGGACTTGGGACTAGTTTACTTTTACATAACAAATTATGTCCAAGATTAGACATCCTACGTTCTCTCTTGTTTTACTTGATTTTGTGCACTGACAATTGACAAAAGTGTCTAGTTTGTTACCAGTTGTTACTTAACATTGTCAACTGAAATCGACAAATGAGTATTCAACGAATATCGAAGCCGAAGTAGTACGAAACTTGTTAACCTCTTTGAATTAGCAGTTCAAATTCGGGATAAATATGAATATTTCCGGCAAATAAGGACATTTATCAAATTCGTTCATTATGTATACATGCATAATGATTACTACTGTATATTACTGCATGTTTATAGTCTCATTCAACACATTTCGAGTGTCCAGGTGATGGACTCACCACATATTACTCGAATTAATGACACATCATCACTGCGACCGATTAATATCATGAGACAAATATGCGTGTTCAGTGCAGAATGTCGTTCCTCCTCTGGAACTCCCCTTGAGCTGCTTCAGTATATAAGTTCGGAGTGACTTAAACATATTAGAGCAATAAAATGTATGAGACGTTAAATGAAAAGGCAAAAATCGTCTGAGATTACGTTTACTTTTGGGAATTCAACCTTAGTATATATACACAATTTTCAAGCCTAAGTTTTCAAAATAAAGATTGATACGCAATCACTGCATTAATGAGGAATTATCATGTGGCATAGATATTAATTTATATACCCCTAGGGAGGATACCAGAAGTAACTGTTTCGTCATACCATATCTAGATAGACACAACTTGTTCTGTTCTTGTTTTCCCGAAGAATACCAGACCATTCTTGTCTGGACCAGTATATTCTAAACCCTGCTTCAAACAGCTTTCTCAAGTGTTTCAGTGCTGCCAAGTATTCGATTCCAGACAAAGGATCTCCATAACTAATCCGAATAGATAGCTGTTGTATTTCATCAAGCATTCCACTTTTTATCACGTGATCAACTATTCTCTCAGTGAGGTTGCCCACATCAATTATAAGGATACCCTGACCATTCTATCGATATTGAAACAAACAGGTATTTTAAATGTAAATGATTCAGCTTATAATCATAAAGTGAATGCTTTACAGACAATTGGACATATCATATATTGTAGAAACCTTGTAATATAAAAAAAAATATTCACAATTAGTTGAAGGTGAAATTAGCAATGATTTAGACAAGACAAATTAAACTATTGATTTGTTTTGTTTCAAACATTCATAACAAAGGAATTTCGAAATAATATTTCGCTTTTATCAGTCAGTTTGGTTCAATTTATGTCCAAATAAGTTTTAAAAAATATATCGCTGATGTGTTATTGGCTTGCAAGTCAATAATTTAACCATAATTGAATCCGTATTCATGCGACCTTCAATTTGTCCTTTAGCTGGAAACGGGTTACGCCTGTGCATTTTCGATGACTGATTCGTCCCGCAAAAAAGGATTAATGTACAGGTAAATTAAGGCGACAGTAGTTAACCGATGCTCAAATCTGATGAATAGATTAGGAAGAGACAAATCAAGGTAACAAACAGAAACTGAGGGAATCGCATGAATTCCTAAAGGAGCGTCGACAGGGTAAGTGTCTCCTGCTATCTATGCAAAACGAATGAGTGTGTACTTGATATCTAATATGGGCAAACATGACTGATTATAAGTCGTAGTTGGATTTGAACTATCTTTCAGTAACTTTCAGTATTCTTAGATCGGTAGTTTATTTGTTTGGTCATTTTTTATGTTTTTTTTTTTTCTTTGCTTCGTGACAATCTGATAGGGGAGTGTTGAGCACTCAATATCTTGTTTAACCCCGCCATTACTTTATGTGCCTGTCCAAAGTCAGGAGCCTCTCATTTTTTTTCTGTGTGTCATTTTTGTTTTTCGTTTATTGATTGTTCTCCTCTGTTTATATTATTTTGTGTTACATTTTTCTATTTTTATCAATTTTTTTCTAATTAATGTGTTCTTCGTACCTTATGACAAATAGAATGGTGGGTCATTTTGTGCTGAGTTGTCTGTTTATTTCGTTTGTGGTTTAAATTCTGTATTTTCGGTACATTTCACATATGTCTAATTTGTCAGTTTAGTCGAGTTACACGTGGTTCGTCTACAGGGTTTTTGTTTTATGTTGTTTGTTTTCAAGTGTGTTTACTGTTTGGTCTTACTTGATCTTGCCTTATATTAGTTATTTTATTTTTATTTTCTATATGTATGTAAAAGTTAAGATAAAAAAATCAGCTTCTTCAATTATATTATTTTAAGTATAAAGCAACTATATGCACAGGATTTTTTTGATTATACACAGTTTTGATTTAGAAGAAAAACCGACATGGTTAGAAAATACAAATGACAACACCGTTACAAACACAATTCCATTGTATTACTCTTGTCATGGTTATTAAAGACATAAAATAACAGCATTACAAACTCAATCCCAATTTATTATTCTTGTACGTGTCTATGAATAAAACAAATCTATTTTATTTTTAGAAATTTACCTGTGATGATATAAACTTTTTCTGACGTTGATCCATTGATGTGACGCGAAGTTTATATTTCGTTTGTGGTGTCCTGGTGTGCTGTCGTAAATTCATGGGAGGTGTCCGCCGTTATTCAGCGGTTTAAATGTTGTAATGTACTATTATATTAATTATTTATTTATTTCTCTGTGCTGAGTGTTCTTGCGTTTGTTTGTTCTGTATTCCTGTTACGTACTGTTGTCATTTTAGCGGTATTTTTAACATTGCCACATAAGCGGAGGGTTTTGCTAGCCATAAAACCAGGTTCAACCCACCATTTTTTCTTACAATGTCTTGTACTAAGTCAGGAATATGGCAGATGTTATCAGACAGTCCGTTTCTATGTATGTTGGCGTTTGCGTTTGTTGTAGTAAAGTGTATCTGTTGTTCCGTTGTTTTTCTCTTATAGTTGGTGTGTTTCCCTTAATTTTAGTTTGATACCCGGATTTGTTTTTGTTTAATCAAATTATGACTATTGAACAGTGGTATACTACTGTTGCCTTTATTTATATTTACGCTAATAATTAACATTCTTGAATGCACAATACAACAAAAGAGAATTGAAATCATAAAACTATCATCACAACGCAAGAAATTTGGGGAGGATGCAGTGTTACTAACTGCTTCCATCCGTACTTTTGTTCTGGTTAATCTAATTTCCTATTGAAACTATACCCAAATGATTAACCATATCACATGTCAGTATCTAGGAGTGAAATGAAAATTGGTTTGATGTAGTGTTGTGGTCTTACACGGGTTTTTCACTAAACACATTTATAATTTCATTGTAAAAGTAATTAAGTGAAGATATACTAGTATATTTTCGTACTATTATATCTTATGATAAAAATAAACTGCTTATACAATGTAAATTTATGAAACAGTGGAGAAGGCTGCATTTGATGAGCTATTATGATTATTTCTAGTTGACAGAAAGACAGGTCGTATCTACTATAAATAAAAAGGAAAAAAGGCAAACTTTTATCGCCAACTTGCAAATGTTGTTTTCTATCAGTTGTTATTAATGATCAGAAATCAAAATAACATTTAGTATATTCTTGCATTCTGAGAGGATGCATATCATCTAGGCCTACATATCACCTCATTTCAACAATTAACATATATAAAAATGTATTCGCATTGCAAGTATAGAGCACATGATTTCTAGAAATGATAATATTCAGTGTTCTTTTGAATTTTGCAACCAGACATTGAGTAAATGTAGGTCGGAAACAGGTATTTGCTCTTTATTCTTTGTACGTCATTGTCATGATGAGGAACACACTTTTTTTTCATTTGTCCTTACATTATTTTACAGATTGACATTGTTTACTGATATCTGAATATTATAAAACAATACTCTAAAACCACTACCTGGTCTTCTTTTCTTCGATTGTGACTTTAAGGAATAAACTGTACTAACGATGATTGAAATGAAGGATGTAACAAGTGGAGCAGGAAGATTGGGAACATTTTTTATTTGTTGTTAAGGAGTTATGGCCCTCAATTGCTTTAACAATTACACTTTTAATTTCTTTTTAAATCCGGTTTGCTGTCATTTTAACAGCCTCTTGTTCTGTGTGAAGCAAAACATTTTAATACTGACCGGCCATAGTGCTCGCTTTTTATTCTTGATGAGAAAGTCAATATCAAAACAAAAATTGCAATCATTCTATAATTATTATATTTAGATTAACTTGTGTACGTTATTTCATTTAACGCCATTCTGTGCCAGGTTAGAGTTGTCTTTTTGACATTGCTTTACATCACTCTTTTCTTATTAATATTGTATTTATGTTGTGTCACAGATCAAATTTATTCGTTCAGTCCATGTTTACTTGTTTTTGTTAATATGTCTTTTTGATCGAGTTAAGCAATTTCAATTGATATTTTATTGTATGTCTTTCTATGTTGTAATGTTACACTACTGTTTCATGTTAGGGTGAAGGTTGGCGCCTGTTAAAACGTTTAAACCCGCTGCATTTGTTTGCACCTGTCCTAAGTCAGGAGCCTGTTGTTCTTTGGTTGTTGTTTATTGATGTGGTTCATAAGTGTTTCTCGTTTCTCGTTTTTTATATAGATTAGACCGTTGGTTTTCCTGTTTGAATTGTTTTACATACGTCATTTTGGGGCCCTTTACAGCTTGCTGTTCGGTGTGAGCCAAGGCTTCGTGTTGAAGGCCGTACTTTAACCGATAATTATTTACTTTTTACACATTGTGACTTGGATGGAGAGTTGTCTCATTGATACTCATACTACATCTTCTTATTTCTATATAAGTGTTTAGTAAGCTGGCAAAACTTTACCGATTCCTCTTTCACTGCATAGCTCCATGCATCAAGTTTTGTGGGCTGATCATTATTAATGTTATTTTCCTTTTTTGAAAGATATATTTCATCAGTTCCAGTCTTTTTTCTAAAATAAAGAAATATATATGTATACCTTGACCTAAAATGGTTTACTTTTATAAATTGTTACTTGGATGGAGAGTTGTCTCATTGGCACTCATACCACATCTTCCTATATCTTTATATATGTGTGTGTGTGTGTGTGTGTGTGTGCATGAACATCGTATTAACCAATAAATAAGTTTGGAATTAAGTACGATAACATTTTATTGTGTTCATGCTACTAGCGGATATGTATTTGTTCTGATGCGTAGGTGGCTTGAGCTTTTTCCGTGCAATATTTGTGTAATGACAAAACAGTTTGTGTATACATATCGTAGTTTGTACTCTCTTCAAGGGATTTAAATCACAACAAAGACGTATTTACTGTAACGTAAACTGCTTAGTCAGATTTGAATTGAATATACAGGAATTTCGATAATCTTAGTTCCGAATAGATTTATTTTACTTTCTATCCTTAAAAACTCTATAAACACAAGTAGAGAATTTCTGCTGATTTTGTACTAGTTTTCTAGGTTAAACCTAGAATATTTACTTTGCGTTCGATAACGACTTATAAATCATTTATGATGGTAATTTCTATGGTGATTTCCTTTAAAAAGACCAGAACAATTTACCAATCCGCTATTGTATAATGCTTTATTACTGGAAATGTATCATCGGTGAATTAACCAAGATTACTAGTAACATGATAAGGGTTACAAGTGGTTCATGAACAACTGCTAACCCTTTTGAAAGATATTAGTTCAACCCCGACCTTTTAAAGCGTAAATCTCCAGTTTATGCTATCGAAACGCATAACAACAGACATGACATTTCATTTTGCTTTGATTAATTCACCATTTCTGATACGTGTGCTATACACCAAATTCTGATTAGACTCTCTGTTTAGATATCTAATCGCACTTTGTATTTTGCATTTACAAATTTTATTTTTATAATGCGTTTTGTACTTTGGCAAACAAGTTTAATTGATTTGAAAATAACGAAAGTACGATCCGCGCAAATGTTTCTCCGAATTTAAGAATACCTATGTCACGTGCTTGTGTCGTTTTGTACGAATGATATCGCACATTATTCTTTTCTCAAGAGCTTCGAAAAATCACTGCCATAAAAGTGTCAGTGTCGAAGTTATTCAAGTCAACTTTTTTCTGTTCAATCACCATTACCACTTTGTGTATAAAAAGAAGATGCGGTATGATTGCCAATGAGACAACTCTCCACAAGATACCAAATGACACAGAAATTAACAACTATATGTCATCGTACGGTGTCTTTTTGTCTGAAGTTATCATTATGGTTCATTAAGATGTATATCAACTTTAAGTTGAAAGTAACTTATTTCTAGTGTGTTGTCGTAAATTGGTCTGCATTGCGTTATATAAGGCTTATATTACACTATTTGTACAGACAGAAGCTTCAAGTTTAAATGGCATTTAATAAAAATCTAGTAGCCGTCCTGAACTTGATGTGAGTTGTGAGATTTTGTTCCGTGTTAAATGCTTCAATATCACTTAAGATAATGAACAGGAATATAAGGAGATGGATATGATTGCCCGTAAGTATTTCAGAGTCCAAGTGACAAGTTATAAATGATTCGTGTTTTACCAAATTAATTTTTTGTCATCGTAATACAGTTTAAAATTATATATACGTTATGTATTACTTGCGTCGGGACAATTTTTTTCCAGATTTTACCGTCTTCAAGTCGTTATTTTTATTTAGTTATTAAAACAATTTTAAAGAAAAGGAGAAGTATCACTCATGCCGTAGCATCGAGCTTGCTTCTTGGCTGTAGTTGCTAATTTGACGATTTAACCAATAATTATTTCTAACTGACTTCAATGTGTTGGTTACTTTTTCTACACTCGTAGTAAATTTAAATCGTGGTGACTTGATTTTAGATTTTATGCAGTTATGATAATATTCTTATTCATATAAGCTGTAATGATGGCAAAACCTGTAAGTGAATATATTAATAATGTACCTTGGTTTGTGTCTTTGAACGTTGATCTTATAAGTCATGTTGATACTTTGGACATTTTCATAATCGTTTACTTTGCTATAAAATAAACAGTGTGTTAAATTTTCCCATTGCTTTCAATCAATAAAAGCATGTTTTGTTTTACATATTTCAACATTACGATACTAACAGTTTCTTGCAATACATTGCACTTCACTTATTCTAAATTGGTAACCAGAATTTGATCAGGATATCTGTCAAGATAAAGATTATAAAAGATTTAAAAGATTTCATAAGACATTAAGGTGCGACAAGTAATTCATCGCAAAGGAGTTAACATGCCAAAGGATAATTCTGAAACCAAAAGACAAACAACAGCATACAAAACACATCATAGAAAACAAGAGTCTGAGCAACACGAATCCCAAAAAAACGAAGGTGATATCAGGTGCTCCGGAAGGTTAAGCAAATCCTGCTCTAATTGTGGCACCCGTCGATGATATTCTCCTTAGAGGTTTTCCATTAAGATTTTGTTTTCTTCAATTATTCTCAAGGAGTACAGCCTTATGCTATATATTTATAAGATTTTGAAAAATCCTGCAGAATATAGAATAAGAAATATCCCAGTGATAGAATAAACTCATCATAGAATGTTCCCTCCTTTTACATAATGTGAACGATTCGGTGAAGTATCAACACCTCTCTTTGTCGTTTATTTTAATTAGTATGAAAGACATTCTTACAAAATTTGGTTGAACTAACTTTAATAATAGGTGCTCATTTTTGATAAGTGCAAATTTATCCACCTAATATAGCCTGCAAATCAAGTACATGTAGTAATATATATATTTGAAAAACCATAGACAGTTACGAATTATATGTTCTCAAACAATGTTGTACATATTAGGTTTTTGTACTTTATATAATAACATTACCGGTACCAAATAACTACACCAGCTCTCGAATTTCAACAATTAATGTTTTTATGGTGATGATCGAGGTAAAAAAGAATTAAAAGTCCAAAACCTTATACAAACGTTGAACAGATGTTTAAACCAAAAAGGGGACCAAATGTAAAACATAACAACTTACTAGTAGACAAGAAAAAGGAGCTATGCATAAGGTTGATAATTCCTAAAATTCAAATGATTTTCAAAATTGTATCAGATAAAAATTTTAAAAAAAAAACATGTCCGTTTTTTCATACTTGTATCGAAGCTGGTTAAGCCGGCCACTAACAGTCTACCTACCCATTAGAAGTAGTTTCAATAATGGTAGCACTTTTACTGCACAATATTTTGACAATGTATATCTCTTTAGTGTTATAAGATACCATTATACTTTCTGTAGAAATATTCTTTGAAAATTAAATTCGATATGTGCTATAGATTCAAAATAAATTATATCATTAAAGGCGTTCGATTGACTGATAGGCTATACAGCTGTTGTAAATATAGCTTTCGATCAAATCGTAAATCAAAACCATGAGCACCTGTGTAGGCTGAGCTCACCGTATTTGATGGCCACATCCACAAAACTGTTTTAAGAATAATATTGGAAGTACAATCCAAAGGATAATTTTAATCACTGTCGGCAGATTGGAATAAAAATGTTGAATTGAAAGTAAGTATAACAATAAAAGAAATGTTATGATAAGCACTAACTTTGCAAAAAGTAGTCCCAGTTTAAGACATAGTGCATCCTCTTCGGTTCACCAATTTAACATTAAGTTAAGTTATTGCATGCTAGTCATTTCGTTACTAATTCCCTCGTTGAAAACCGAATTATTGATTTAAGTTCGAATCGGATGTTGCAAAACAATTTTCGAAAATAATCCAAACTGAATGATAAAAAGTGAGCATAAAAAAACTACACTGTTCATGCTGAAAAACAGAGTAATACTTCTTAATTCAAACTTGTTAATGAAAAGCCAAGCACAAAGACAAGTTTTCTAATTCAGTTTAAATAGTCTTGAACACATGTTCCATTAATTGTATCATAAAGTATATTATTCTTATCCGAAAATGGTTGATTGTTTCCCTATCTTTTGTTTTAATATATAATTCCATTAATTGTACCATAAAACCAATTGTATTTGCTAATTGAAAACAAAGCTGAATAAAATAATTTAAGACAGCAGAGGAGATAATTCTGTTTTAATTGGTTATTGCTAAGACTTAAATAAAGAGTGAGCTATTTATACTGTAATTTATGATATCTCTAGTCTGGTCAAAGGGTCAGAGTGTCCTACTTAATTAAACGATAAATTGTTGAAATTAGATAACATGTTTTCACGTGCAGAGAAACTTCACTTATGAGCAGTGCATGATTGGATTTCATCTTTCTTATTGGTCAATGATCTTGCGGGGTCAGCACGAGTTCACGTGTAAAAAGTGCATTGTGATCACTTCCTTTTATCATCAGCATTTGATGTGTTAACTTGTGATTCTTATCAAACAATTTGTTAAAAATTATTTGTGAAATTTTTAATTTTATGGATAGTTTTGGACTGGAGTGATTTCCTTTTAGCAATTTGAGGTAAAATCGAACTATTCTTTTATTTTTAGCTATTTTATGCTTACATTCTAAACAAACGTACAGTAATTTTATTTACCATTCTTCCATTCGGATAGATCTCACGATTTTGATTTATGCAAAACACGTAGCAGTTGGTCAAATTCATTTATTTGTCAATCAGATAGTGCGTCAAATTAATTTTGGTGTTCGTGGCGACACTGCGCGTTTGCGATCAAAATGTAATTATTTACCATACTCATAAAAAATGATAGCTGATGATTAATCCGATGTTGTAATTTTACAAGTTACTGAATCCTTAATAGCATCATAATGTTTGCAGAACGTATATCCGCCTTATGTATCTATAGGAGACATGGTTCATTTAAATTAACTACAAATACAAATTGTATTGCATAATGATAATAATATCATACATGATAGAATGCAAAGTTACACACGTGTAAACGATTTATTCACGATTCCATACATTTAAACACTCTTATATGAAAGAGCAACCGTTTAAGTTTTAAGGCTAAGCTATTGTTTATTGTATTACAAACCCATTTGCCTTACTTGTTTGGGTAAGTTGACCGATATTTCAATTGGTGAAGAGAGCTTGGTTGCTCGTACTTATGACCTCTGGGTATTTCCTTTTGCAATTATGTTGTATTTAGTGTTCATTGTTTTATGCTATGTCACGAGCTCATGCTACTTTCGTAAAGCTCTTCACGGTGGTTTGTTTGGAGCTTATAATTTTGCAAGTTAGCCTAATCGCTATAATTGTTAGTATTTTAATGCATGCAGGTGTACCTTGTTTGCTTTATGTTAACGGTATAAAAAGGATATGTCACTTACCTACATCGCAACCTAATGCTTATTTATTACGAACCAATTTACCTGTCTTTGCCTGTTTAGGTAAGGTGGACTATATTTTAATTTTTGCAGAGGGCGTGGTTGTTTGTACTTGTGTCCTCAGTGTATTGTTTTTGCAGGGGTTGTGGTAGCTTGGTCTATGACCTCTGTGTATTTGCTTTTGTAAATATGTTAGTATGTAGTGGGTATTGTTTTATGCTTCGTCATGAAACTCATGCTACTTTTTTTGCAGAGGTCGTAGTAGCTTGGTCTATGACCTCTGTATTGTTTTATGCTTCGTCATGATACTCATGCTTCTTTTTTGTAGAGGTCGTAGTAGCTTGGTCTATGACCTCTGTATTGTTTTATGCTTCCTCATGAAACTCATGCTTCTTTTTTTGCAGAAGTCGTAGTAGCTTGGTCTATGACCTCTGTATTGTTTTATGCTTCGTCATGAAACTCATGCTACTTTTAATTATCATTTTGTCATGGTGATTGGTTTGGAATAAATTATTTTTGTAATCAATCCTTTTGCTACATACAAAATTGCCAGTATATTGAGACATGTAGCTAGAATAAAATGTTTGTCAGTTTATAATACATGTTTTTAATGTATTATTTTAATTATGTTTACTAGTATAATTCATCTACATGATATAGTTTGGGTTGCGATGAACGTAATTGATAATTTTTATGCCAATACTTATGCATTATAAGGTCGTTTGCTTTTACTTTATACTAGATTTATTATTAAAAATAACAATGGACAAAACATACTGATAATATTTAAAAGTTCATACTTTTCTTTTATTACATGATATATAAAAATCATTTCTGTTTAATGGTTGATTATTGAAAAAGAGGAAACTATGGTCATAATTAAATCATCGCATACTATTCCTTAACATGCGTTATGTTTGTGGTCCTAGAGTAAGATCTGGTTTGTTTTTTAATGAGAATTTGTAAGCCATTTTTCATCATTTTACATTTTGTTTATTTCATGCTTTAACTATGGACAAAAAAGCGCTGAGTCTGGTATTAATCTACGAAAGAACTTGTTCCCATTGAAGGAAATGTACCATAAAGTGTGATATCAATAACTTACATATACTTTCATATATCAGCGGTATGCCATACTTCCGATAATTCAAACATACGAATGCTGATGGGTTGCTGTTTCACTGACATTAATGACACATACCTAATTTCGAGATTAGAATTTTGATCCAGACGTGCGAGTCGTATCAACAAGAGTCCTTGACTAACCAAAGTCTACTTTGACTGTTTTATAAATACAAATTTACAAAATACAACTTCGATCAGCAATTGGATACACAACTGGACCCTAGTTCCAAGAAAGTCCAAAGCACCAATTGCTATTGTTCCACCATCTCTTTAAAGTTGGCTATGTCGTTAATTGTCTTGGACTCTCGTAACTATACAGCACTTAGTTTTAGAAGAAGGAAAACACAAAGACTTTTGCTGCAGTTCATGGATGGAATTGTCCTATCCGCGATTCAAGGATTGAAGTCAAATGCGTTTATAGAATCTTACAGCATAAAAAGAATTAAGTTAGTAACAGAACTTTATGCTCCAGCTGTTTTGGGTCAGTATTGCCTGACAAAACGTTTATGATCTTTATTTCATACAAATACAACTATATTGTTTTGGGTCAGCAATGCCTGCCAAAACGTTTTATGATCTTTATTTCATACAGTTACAACTGTCTT